CAGACCCAGGCCCGGGTTCCCCAGGCCGGGTCCGGGCCCGGGCCTGAAAGGGCCGAGCTCCGGGCCGACACGGTTTTTTTTTATTTTTTATTTTTTTTAAAATTAATCTCTTTAAATTTTTAATTATACATAAAAAAATTACACAAAATTTTAATAAAAAACAATAATATTATTAAACACTTGAAATTACATAAATTACAAATATAAAAAATTATAAAAATAAAAAATAATAAAAATAACTTCTTTATTAATAATTAATAAATTATTTACAAGTATAAATTTATTTCGGAATTCGTTGCATCACAATAGATAAGTATATCCCAACTATGTTGGCACATACTCACCTATATCACTATCATTTACAACTATTTTCAAAATAATTCATTACAAATTTTTAGGTAAGAAATAAAAATTATAATTTGATAAATATTGTTTAATCTTTATATCTATCTGCTAGTCTCAACTCTTCAAATTTATCTTCAATTCCAGCCAACCGATCGATGCCTTGCGTTCTCTTCTCGTATCTCTACCAATTTTTTAAGCACATCACCGCCTGTATAGTATATGGATCTAACAATATCCTGTGGTCGTCGATCAAACGTCCTGCTATGCTGAAGGCGGATTCCGAAGCTACCATCGAAACTTACAGTGTTAATAAGTCACGAACCATGTTGGAAAGTATAGGATATGAAACTGATCCATATACTCTCCACTATTGCAAAATATCTAAATTATTATTTTAACATTTAACTAAAGAAGCAGATAAATATTCATCTATTTTAGAAACCTCCAATGCTAATCCAAATCCAGATCCACCAGTTAGCTCAGCTATCATTGCATACCTATCAAAACTTATACTTTTACCTCGACTTGAGGTCGAAGATGCTAAAGTTGTAGATTGTTGTGCAGCTACACCATGTTTAGCTGCATACTCATCATATAAGGTTTGAAAATAAATTTTAATAGCATTATGATGAGAAGTATCAGTAAGGGTAGATCCATTATCTAAGTCTATTGATTACCATACAGTAAATTTAACAAACTTCGAAGGCCAATATCCTTCAAACACAGATCAATAAGAACCTCTAAATCAAAAATAGTAGGAATAGGCCTAAAATACTTATTAAATTTGCTTTCCATTTGAAAAATTATACCTCCAAAAGTTTCATCCATGCGATATTTACCAAAAAATTTTGAATATTTAAAATTTGTAAAACAGCTAAAGTAATGGTTGGATAATAACAGCCAGATAATATGAATATTTAAAATTTGTAAAACAGCTAAAGTAATGGTTGGATAATAACAGCCAGATAATAACATTGTAGCATCATAAAAAACTTAAGCTAAAGTAATGGTTGGATAATAACAGCCAGATAATAACATTGTAGCATCATAAAAAACTTATAACATCTCTTTTAAATTACTTATAATTATCTATTCATCTTTAGTTATTCTATAGGTGCTAGGAGAGCTAGAACTAGAAGAATAATAAGCAATAAAATCATTTATAATTTTTTTATATTTTATTGCTACATTTAACATTGCATAGGTAGAATTCTACCTATGGTCAACATCTTTTGGAATTAGTCTGAGTTTTACATTTTTTTTTTCTTTTACAGAATTGTTTCTATCTTTTAATTCTTTGTTCAGAAGCATTATGCATATAAGTTACTGTCCTAACATTTTCTATCATGGGTTTAATTTTAGTAAATACACTTTGAATAATTAAATTTAAAATATGATAAATACATCTAATATGAAAAAGATCACCATGACATGACAATGATAGAGATGTTTTGATAAAATCAACAGCTACATTATTATTACTTGTATTATCTAGTGAAAGAGAAAATATTCTTTCTAAAATTTCTAGTTTCATAAGTTCTTCAATTATTAAATTTACAACATTAATACCAGTATGCGACTCTTCAATTGCAATAAAGAAAACAACTCTTTTAAACATTTGCTAATTTTTATCAATCCAGTTTGTTGTGATACATAAATAACATGTTTGTGCTCTAAATATCCAAATATCAGAAGTTAAAATAATTTACATTTAAACTTTAAAATTAAGAAATTATTTTTACTTGTTCATCCTGATAATGTTTTAAAATATCACGTTGACAAATTTGACGAGAAAAATTTTTAAATGCGGCGTAAAAACCATCTCTAAATAAATATTTAAATTCATCATCTTCTACTAATTTAAAAGGAAGATTTTTAAGAATGATAAACCTGATGATGCATTTCCTAGCATGGGTTGCGTCATAATTTCAACTACCGAGACTACCAGAAGATGAGGATTGAGAGATCATAGATTGTCAGATATCACCTTGAGGCGTCTGTCCTTTGTTGTGTTTATCTAAATAGCGTTTGAGATGGTTGGTGCCGCTCTTATGATGAGCTTGGAAAAATCTTGCCGCACAACGCACGCTTAGCCTTCTGGGTGAGTATCCTAGCGTGATCATCCTTGGTGACGTCTATCTTCTCAAAAAAATTCCAC